CCGCTCCCGCTGCTGCTGCTGCTGCTGCTGCTGCTGCTGCTGCTGCTGCTGCAGGCGCGCAGCAGCGTCTGGGGCTCCGAGGATGCAAAGGGCATCCAGCAGCAGCAACTGATAACCCTCTGGCAGCTCACTTGGCAGCTTGTTGAAGCGAATGCAGTGCGCGAAAAGTCGCAAGTAAGGCAGCAGCATTCCCGACAGCAGCGCCTCGGCCTCGGGGTGTCTGGACTGCTGCGCAAGGCGCGCGAAGGAGGAGAAGAGTTCGAGCTGTACGTACACCGCGCGGCTCCAGCCGTGCACCTCCAGCGCCAGCTGCTCCTCCCCTGCTGCTGCTGCTGCTGCTGCTGCTGCTTCCGACGTCAGCAGCCGGCTTATGCACTGCTGCAGGTCCTTCAGGATGTGGCACACCGCGCTCCGCATCACCTCCACGCTGCTGCTGCTGCTGCTGCTGCTGCTGCTGCTGGCCGCAGCACACAGCGGCGACGCGCCCACGCCCAGGCCGCTGCTGCTGCTGCTGCTGCTGCTGCTACCTGCTGCTGCTGCAGCGGGCACTGCTTCGCACGCCGCAGACGCCTCGTACAACACGCCCGCGCCGCCAGCAGCAGCAGCAGCAGCCAGCCGCTTCCTGCTGCTGCTCCCGCTCCCGCCCCACAGCTCCCCACCCGCTGCTGCCGCTGCTGCTGCTGCAGCAGACACTGCAGCAGCAGCCGGAGACGCCGACGGGCTCGGCGTCGACGCGCACGTGCTCGTCGAGTAGCTCGGAGACACAGCAGCAGCAGCAGCAGCTGCTGCTGCTGCTGCTGCTGCCTGCGCTGCTGCGGCTCCCGAAACGTCCCCCTGGTCCAGCAGCATCTGCAGCAGCAACACACCATCGACAACTCCTGCTGCACAACAGCAGCAGCAGCAGCAGCAGCAGCAGCAGCAGTTGGTTTGGTTTGGGGTCTCACCGCGTTTTGGGGGTTTGCGATTCGGTTTCGCTTTGCTGCAGAGTCTGCTGCAGCAGCAGCAGCAGCTGCTGCTGCTGCTGCTTTGCCGCGTCTCTTGTCCCTCCACTCCAGGGCCCTTTCTCTCGCCACTCTAAACCCAAATTTGCGAATAGTAAACATCTTGAGGACGGGGCGGCCGCAGTGCTGCAGTCCGAGTCTGTGGGGCCCCCCGGGGGCCCCCCTGCTGCTGCTGCTGCCTGCTGCAGCAGCAGCAGCAGCAGCAGCGGGGGGCCCCTCCTCCTCGTCTGCTGCTGTCACCACCCAGGCCTTCATTGCTTCCGACCACTCCACTTGCGGCTCCACCGGCAGCTGCGCCACTCTCTCCAAGTAGTCCACTCTCCCGCTGCCTCCGTAGTACGGAGCAGCAGCAGCAGCAGCAGCAGCAGCAGCAGGGCCTGCTGCTGCTGCTGCTGCTGCTGCTGCTGCCGCGGCGTCGGGGAGCGCGCCGCCCGGAGTCTTGCAGGCCATCGGCGCGTGCAGCACGCCCGCCCCCGCAGCAGCAGCAGCAGCCGCAGCAGCAGCAGCAGCAGCAGCAGCAGCAGCAGCAGCGGTGTCTGCAGGGCCCTGCGGCGGCCCTGCCGCGCCCGCCCCTGCCTCCGCGCCGCCGCCGCTGCTGCCCGCCCCCGCCCCCGCCGCAGCCGCAGCAGCAGCAGCAGCAGCGGGAGGGTCCGCAGCAGCAGCAGCAGCAGCAGCAGCCTCCTTTTCCTCCATCTGCTGGATCTGCTGCAGCGCGCGTTCGAGCCTGGCGTTGGCGGCGTCGAACTGGGCCTCTGCGTGGGAAAGCTGCGCTTTCTGCTGCTGCTGCTGCCCCGCTGCAGCAGCAGCAGCAGCGTGCTGCAGCAGCCTGCGGCGGCGCTGCTGCAGCGCCTCTGCTGCGCGCTTCCGCGTCAGCAGCGCCAACTGGTGGGCCCTTCTGAAGCCATGTTTGTTAACTGTGAAGTATCTGATGACTCTGCGGCCTCCCTCGTGCCAAAAGGCCCTCCAGATCATCCTTGCTGCGTCGTAGTAGACTCCGGGCACCTTGGGCACTTCGCGCGCCTGCTGCAGCAGCTCTGCTGCTGCTGCTGCTGCTGCAGCAGGCGCTGCAGCAGCAGCAGCAGCGGGAGCTGCAGCAGCGGCAGGGCGCAGCGGCGCAGCCGCAGCCGCCGCGCCCGCGCGCGGGCCCGGCTCCGGCTTCACCGCAGGCAGCAGCGGCGCAGCCGCCTGCTGCACCTCCACCTCCTGCTGCTGCTGCTGCTGCTGCTGCTGCTGCTGCTGCTGCTGCTGCTGCTGCTGCTGGGCCTTGACTTTCTTGCGTTCCACCGCGCGTTCCTTCGTCTCCACCGCCAACTGCAGCGCCTTCTCGTGCCCAAACTTCGCAGAAGAAAAATATCTGAACTTTCTCTTTCCGCTTTCCGCGCAAACCCACGAGGCCCTCCAGCAGTTCTGCTGCGGGTCAAACCAAATCCCGCTGTACTTCCGGGGCAGGGGGCCCCCCGGGGGCCCCCCGGGGGGCCCCCCGGGGGCGGGGGGCCCCC